CCTTCCTACTTAAGCCATTCAAGTACTAACGTTATATTTAAATACCAGTCAAGGGATAAACCAGCCTTCTCCTGTCCTCTCCTGAGCTCTCACTGTTCTTGCTGCTCTCAGGGCTGTTGCTTAGATGTTTTTTAGCACAGAATCTCTTCTGGGCTGATTTCCATTTGTGTCTGTACAGCAAAGCTTTGTCCTGGGAAGCTGTTGACTGACATCACCGAATTCACTCCTGATCCCCTGATTGAGATCCCATCATCCAAACCCAAACTTGTCTGATCCCTTCACTGCTCCAGCTTCTTGGTTAACCTCTTCTCTCTGTTTTCCATCCTTTTATTTGTAGCTGCTGTAGTTCAGAAAGTGACTGTGCAGGTGCCTGGTGCGACGGGGTGGAAGCTGCGTGGATCTCACTTGCTCTTTTTGTGGTGGATCTGCTAGTGCTGAACGTTGGGGTTTTGACCCAGGCCATCTTCCTCAAGTGACAGGTACAGGGTTTAGAGAAGGGACTTGCTGCAGTAATTATATCTAACTGCACAAAATGGCCCCACTCAAGTTTAGTTGGCTTAAATAATTTAACTGAAAATGAGTCTGCTGGAGTGAGGCTGGAGTGAGTCATGGACAGGCCAGTCTCTGTAGCTCACACAAAAGAAAGATGTATTTGTTGTGTCAACAGGTGGGACAATGGCAGGGGTGTGTGTGTGTGTGTGTGCAAGGGTTCAAAGTTTATAGAAACTCAGTGCTGGATTATTAAATTTTTCCACTTGTGTGACTTTGGCAGTTTGCCTGGGAGTCACCATTGGGTTTACACTGAAACTAAGCAGTGAATTGCCTCAGGGGACAGAACTGTTCTGCTGCTGCTCTGGACAGGGCCTCGTGCTCCCTGCTGTGATCCCAGAGATAAATGAGGCAGAGTTCTGTGCTCAGAGCCATCACTAAACCTGGCTCATCAGAGCTCCCTCGTGCTCAGCTCTGCCGTGTCTGACACAAATGAGGCTCCCCAGCTGCCAGGGAGGGCTGGAGGGAGGGCCCTGGGCTGGGAGGAGCAGCTCAAACATCCCCGTGCAGTTTTGCACTCTGACTTCATTCCTCAAGCACCAAACCTCCAAATAGGTGAGTTTTGGTATAAAAAGCAGCTCTTGGAGGAGCAGCTTTCAGCAGGGCATGGAGCTGTATTTTGATTGAGTTTCATTTCAGCTGCTGTGTGTGGTAACTTATGATTTAGCACAGGATCATCCCATAAACCCTGGAACTGTCTGCCTAAAGTCCATTGTTGGTGCCACCAACGAATCCAGCAAAGCAGTCACTACCCTGACAGTTCCAGTGGAATTCTGTTTCTCTGGATCAGGCCTTACTCATTCCAATGAATTACCTGGGTATTTCTTCGAGGACAATAAAAAGATTATTAAAGCTGAGCACAATGGAACAGAACAGTGTGTATGTCCAGACTTTAATCAACAGTTTGACTTTTGAACGGGTGTTGTGTGGATCCTGCCTGTCTGCCAGGGAGGGAAGATCCTCTGGAATTCTTCCTTAGCTGGGAGTGTCGGATTTTGCAATGGGACCTGGCCAACTCCCGGGGCAGGTGAGTCAGCGTTTGACACCCCAGTCTGGGTGAAGCTGGATTAGAGGGCAGGTGACTCACGGGGATGGCAGCCACGCTGTGCCATCCGTGCCCGTTTGTGCCGCAGCATTTGGCCACAGGTTTGGCTAATCCCAAAAATCAGCACTGCAGGATGCTGGCTCCCAAACCAGTGCTGGAAGCACAGCTCCCTCAGGTCAGGGTTGCCAGAGGGGGGGGAGATGACTGAGCCTTCAGTGCAAGGTGTTTTCATCATCAAATAACTACCTGTAGAGTTCCTATTGTGGCAGATTCTGTAAGAACAGTGGGTTTGCTCATTTGGGATCAATCCCTTGGGAATTGTGTAGTGAACACCTGCCAGAGCCAGTGGTGCAGGGCTTGACCTTCGGGCCACGAGCCAGGACTAGGGGAGGCCGCCCAGCCCAGGACAGGGGGTCAGGAATCCTTTTTAACTCCCCCATCTTTCCCCAGCCAGGCCGGGCTGTGTGTGGTGGGATGAGCCGAGCACAGGAGGGATGTGGGGTCCGGAGCCTCCATCCCCCCCACAAAGGCAGGATCCCCAGCGCTCACAGCGTCAGTGTGGCCTTGGGATGGAGCTGGAGCTGCATGTCCTGAGCAACGGCCACGGCTGGAGAAGGGACAGGAGACGGGAGCAGGGGCTGCTCCGACAGCGATACCGGCGCCTGACACAGCCCCCCGGAGCCAGCTCTGCTGCTGCAGTAAGGTAATAACTCCAGGGAGCAGCAGGTGCTCATGGAGAAATGGAGAAGGACGTTGTCCACCAGATACTGGAGAGCTCAGGTTGCTCTTTCCAGCTGCGGGAGAGGAGCGGGGCTGGTCCCTGCAGGGTGGGTGAGCTCTGAGTGCTCGGCGTGGGAAGCTCGGGATCCTTCTGTCTCACTTAAAGAAAACACGGAAAACGGCTGTCTTGGGAAAGCAGCTCTGGGGGGAAGGGAATTGCTGGTTCCTCCACACAAAGGCTTTGTGTTCGGTGCAGGGGCAGAGCTGCAGCTTGTGTAAATTGTTGTGGCTGTGCTGAAAGGAGCGGAGCTCTGCTGCCGACTCAGCTCGGGGATGGCCCCTGGAGAGAAGGGTCAGCCCGTGGGGCCGGACTCTCCAAGCACGTGCATCACTTATCTGCTCAGCCAGAGCTTCCTTTTGGGATTTCTCCCCACCCTTGACCTGTGCCCTGCTCCAGGTTGTCCCCAAGCTCACAAACCTCGGCTGCCTCTGTGGTGCCCCTGCCCTGACCCAGCACGTGTGGTGGGAGAAGGGAATGTCCATGATGAGACAACCTGGGCCTGGGCTCCGGGTGCTGCCTGGGAAGCTCATGGAAGGGTATTTGCCCAGGAAGGGGATGGTTGTAATCCCTCACTCAGGTTTATAAAGAATTGCCTACAAACTTCACATGAAACCGAAGCCAGCGGAACGTTGGTGAGAAATGCTGATCCCTTTTATGAATAACCCCCACATGCTTCCCCTTTCCAGGAGGGAGGAAGCTCCCATTAAAAATTGATAGTCTCCCTGTCAGCTGGATTTTAATTCAGCAAGTGGATTTGACTACTGATGTGAAAAAACTACCTTTGTCACCGTGCTGATATTTTTTTAATGAGACAGAAATGGTTTGGCACCTTTCCAGCTTATTAAAATCTCTGTGAGTCCACAGGCACTGGCACAAGGGGATGAGAAGGGAAAATTACATTGAGTGCATGATTGGCAAAACAAAATCAAGCACTTTTTTATTTATTTATTTTTAATCTGTTACAAGCCTGTGAATGAATCCTTCTATTATTTATGGGGGAGGATAAAGGGAGCCGTCCCTGTGGCTGCAGGAGGAGGCAGACTCTGCTTTCAGTTCAACTCTTCTTTCCAGACGAGGAAAGTGAACACCTCCCTGTTACCCAGGGCAGAAACAAGTGAAGGTAGTTGTGTGAAAATGGAGTAATTCATGTTTTGTGGGAGAACAGGACATTACCAGGAGGGGAGGATCTCCACAGGGACAGGGCTCGTGTCAGTGGTCTGTGGGTTCCCTGGGTTACCGCAGGGTAAATCTCTCTGCTGAAAAAAAGCCTTCCACCCTCCCCAGGGGCTGAGACTGTTTCAGCCCTGCATCCCAGCAGTTAAGTCACGCCAGGGTCTCCATCCTGCACTGGATCAGCTGAGGGAGCTGCTCTCCAGTGACAAGGCTTTGCTACATCCTCACCCGAAGGGCAGCATGTGCAGAGCACCTCGTCCCAAGGTCGGCGGCATTGCCAGTGGGGATTTGGCCCTTCTCCAGCTGCTGCTTCCTTCCTCCCTGCCCTCAGCCCAGCACAGCAGCGTGGAGACACTGCAGCAAACGTTAATCTAATTTCCTGCTCGGTGTCCTTTCTGGGTGATCTTTGCTGGGGGAGGAGGGGGATGAGCTGGGTCTGCTGACACTGCTGTGTAAAGCCAGGCAGCTCATGGGACCAGCCCCCTCCTGCCTCAGTGTCCCCAGCATTCCCCGGTGATGTCATGAAGATTCCTGTTGATAAAATGCTTGATGAAACTCATGTGATTCACATTGTGTTCTTTTGGCAGTTTAGGAGGAGAGTTTTGCTGCAGAGAGGCTGAGGAGCAGGAACCTGCCAGTACCACTGGGCTGTGCCAGGGATACCCCAGGGCTCTGGGATGAGTTTCCTCCTGTAAAGCTTTTCCTAATGTTCCTCGAGGCACCCAATGCTGGGTCCCCCATGGGCAGATCCCAAAACTGGATGAAGTTCTGACTTGGGGAGGGAAACAGAGGAGAGAAATGAATCTTTGCAGCTGGAGGGGTAAGAGCAAGTGGCAGAAGAAATGCCCTCCTGGCCAGGCCATTCACCCCCAAAAAAAGTGTGGGACAGGCCATGCCCAGGTCCTTTGCAGCTCCCTTTGCCCCACTCGGCCTGGCTTTGGCACCAGCTCTGCTGGGACCTTCCCCAGGTCCCTGAATGCCACTGTTGTGAGCCCTGCAGGTGCCCAGCTCTGACAGGGAAGGGCCCCCAGCTCCCTGGATTTTTGGGTAAGCCAAAATGATGCTGCAGGTTGAAATTCTCATGATCAGGCAACGATGCCCAGTCCTGCATCCTCTGAGCCCCACACTCCCACCTGCCCTGAAGGTGAACATCTGCTCTCCAGGTTATAAAAGCTCCACTTCCCCCTGTTGTAACCCCTGGATGGAGCCAAACCTCACACAGGTTTGCTGTGCCAGAAACAGGGACTTGTCCTGCTGGGCTGAAGTTGTGCAGGTTGAATCTCCCCCTGGATCGTGCCCATGGATGCAGAGCCTGGTGGATTCCGAGGTGCCAGGTGGGTGAGCAGCACGATGCCAAGGCAGATGGTGGGCACAGGGCTGCAGGGACCTTCCTGAACAAAGCAGGGGGGTTTGCCAGGATGCTCTGGGAGCCCCTGGGATGAGTCCCCTGAAACCAGCCCGATGTTCCTGGGCAGATCCCCCCATCCTCCTGGGAGAAGGGGATTTCTACCTTCTGCTAAGAGAGGATTTGGGTTTATCCTCTGGAGCTGCACATCCTGCTATTAATGAGCAGCCAGGGTATCATTTGAATTTAAATGACATCACAGATGCAGCTCTGCTAATTGCTCATTTGCTTATCCAGGGTAAGTGGTAAATCAGTAAAGGAAACCTGAATCACAGAAAGCTCTTGTGCAGCTCATTAGGATGGGTCTAGGAAAGTGTGTTAACCCCTTCCATGGCAATGCCTCCTTACTCCATTCATGGCTCCATTTCCATCCTGTTGCCCATCTTGCTGCAGGGATTAGCTGGGGAAATGATGCAGATCACCTAGAAATTCTGGGATTTGTGGCTGGGACAGAAGTGAAGGATTTAAAAGGGGAAAATCTCGGCAGTGTTGGTGCTCAGAGAGTTGCTGTGCAGAGCCTGGGTGGGTTTGCACAGCCCTTGTCCTGGGCTGGGCTGTGGGGCAGAGGGATGGCTCCAGTCCTCTGTTATCTGTTTGGTGTTGTGCCTAAACTTTTGGCTCTAAATGGCTCTTATCGTTACCTGGCAGGAGCCTGGAGAGTGTCTCGGAGTGATCATTGCACAGAAACGCCACTGGGGTAAAGAGGTGATAATTAAAATTGCAAAATCAAATACCCAGTGATCTGAAATACCAGAATTTCAGCCTGAGCAGGTAGAGCTTGTGCTGCAGATAACCAGGAAGGTGGGAAGATTTGGGAAATCTTTGGTCCTGCCCCGCAGGATTGTTGTTCTCCCCGTCTCCAGGGCACAAGTGGCTTCACTGAGGGCTGCAGCTGCTTTTTTAATGGGTGACTCAGGAGGTTTGGGCTCAGTTCTCCGTCCTGCTGTGGCCACACCAGGGCTTTGGGACGTCATTCCCTTGTCACTGCCGTGCTGCCTCAGGCTGTGAGGTTTGGAGAAGGTGGAGGAGTTTCTGTGCCCATGTTTGGAGGGCTGGAGCGCTGGACGTGCTGCTGCAATGCAAACAATTTTATCGGAGAGATTACTTCTAAATCCTGGTGGAACTGAGAAATCTTGGCTTCTTGTCCTGATCATGTTTCCTTTTCTTTCTCGGGTCCTTTGAAAAAAAAAAAAAAAAATCTGGCTCCTTCCCCTGTGAGTCAGATAGGAGGAGATAAACCCCTCATTCATCATGGCCCTGCTCGAGTCAGATCAGCGCTTACGCCACCAGTCCGGAGCAGGTTGGCTCAGGGAGGGGTGTTCACTTTGTTCCCTGTGATGAACATAATTCATCTTAGACGTGGACTTTGCCCAAAGAACCACCTGGAAAGCTCCAGGGAGCTGGGATGCCTCCTTGGTGGTGCACAGCTTGGGCACGAGGCCCCTCGGTGGAGGCGTGGGGCTGAGCTGGGGGAGCAGCAGCCTGGGAGGGACTCGTGTTTCTGCAGGAGTAATTCCACATTCCCACTCCAGGATCACACCTGGTGCTCCCTGAGCCCTCATCCATGGGCTTTGCCTGGGATTTAAAGCTTCCCTTGCAGGGCTCCAATAATCCTGCTGTCCTGATGCGATAAAAAGACAGTTAAAAAGCCCCATCAGTGTCTTGCTGCCTGCCAGGCCTCGAGGGGCAAAGGCACCCAGGGAGGTAATTTGGGGCCTTCAGTGGTTCTCAGAGCTGCCTAATCTGCAGAGGGATTTAGTGGGAGCTTGTCTGATGTTGCAGGCTCAGTGCTGGGAGCAGCCAGAGCCCGGGGAAAAGACGGGAGAGGCGGCTGCTGGAACAGCATCACACCACAAAGGGCTCCTGTGCCCAGGGCAGGAGGGTGTTCACCCGGTGTTCAGCCTCACACTCAGGTCTGAGGCTCAGAGCAGGGGGAGGAGGAGGGCAGGGAGGTTTTCCTTACCTGGGGCAGGACTCAAGTGACAGGGACTCATCTTCACCTGAGCTGTTGGCTTTGTTCTCTCCCTCCTCTTGCTGGTGTGAGGTAGCACCACACACCCTCATCAGCTGCCCGTGTTTGGGAGCCCCTCAGGAGCAGAAAACAGCCCCCTCCTCTCCTCAAAGGCTTCTGCCACGCTTGAAGCTTTGCTGTGGAGCCAAGAACGTGAGCAGTGAGAAGAAAACGTGGTTGGTATTTCTGAAGGTGAGAGTCTTGCCATAAATTGGGATGGGTTATCAGGTGCCTACACTGATAGAATCCGAGAATCATGGAACAGTTTGGGATGGAAGGGACCTTAAAGCCCATCTCGTTCTGACCCCCTGCCATGGGCAGGGACACCTTCCACCTGACCAGGTCGCTCAGAGTCCCATCCTTGGACACTTCCAGGGATGGGGCAGCCACAGTTTCTCTGGGCAACCTGTGGCAGGGCCTCCCCACCCTCACAGGGAAGAATTTTTTCTTAATATCCGTGGGTTTGGATAGAGCCAGTCTGGGGATAAAGAGATTTGGGTGTTGGATTTGGGGTTTTGTGTTGGTTTTTTTTGTCTCTGATGTTGCCCTGCACCCTGCAGAGCTGATACACCATCTCAGTGTCATTCCTGTAATTGGAGTGATCCCCTGCAGATCCATTTATGGGGGATGAAAGCTGGGAAGGAGCTGGTGCTTCCCCTGCCTGTGCACACACAAAGGAACCCCAGGACACAGAGGCTGTGCTGCCTTTGCACCCTGGGATCGGACAGAACCTGCAGACCATCAAACCCCCACATCAAACAGCGTCTCCTCCACTGAAGCTTCGTGACAGAAGCCAGTCCATGGTGTTGAAACCCAGCTGGGATCTAATGGACTGAGTTCATTAGGGCTCCCAGCAACTTCCAGGCTTTTCAGATGGTGGAAATTCAGCAGGAAACCTCGCTGGTGGCATTTGATTGCTGCACTTCAGGGTGGCGTGGCTGATTTAACCACTTAATGAACCAGAGCCAGGCAAGCCTGGCATTGTCATTTTGGGAGAAGCAGATTGTGTAGGGGTTTTTTTTTCTAAGCAAAATCACCTTATCAGTCCAGGTGTTTGAATCACCTGGAGACAAACCTTAAAAGAAAACAACCAATGCCTTAATTTATTTACTTTCAGGCAACTTCTATACATAGAGGTGGGGAAATAGAGATTTTAATCAGGCACGGGAAACTTTTTTTTCTTTTTTTTTTTTCCCCCAAATAACTTTTCAAACCAGAACTACACTGAATTTTGGGTTTTTCTTGAAGGAACTTCTTGTTCATGTGCATCTGCACAGTGATGCAGGGACACCTTCCACCTGACCAGGTCGCTCAGAGCCCCATCCTTGGACACTTCCAGGGATGGGGCAGCCACAGTTTCTCTGGGCAACCTGTGGCAGGGCCTCCCCACCCTCACAGGGGAGAATGTTTTCCTGTTTTGGGGATGTGTCCCAGGGAGGTTTCCCAGCACCCAGACTCGGCTCCCAGCTCCCTTCACAGCAGCTGAGGCTCCAATTCTGCCTCTTGGTCCTTTCCAGGTCGCTTTTTATGAAAGGGAGAAGCCAAAACCTTTGTTTGCTGGTGCTCACAGCGGAGAACAGGCCGGTGTCTGGATTTGGAAAGTAGGGCAGTGAGAATCCCCGGCGAGGCGAGCAGAGCCTGGCAACAGCCTCCTGCTGAAAGGGCAGAGTGGGGCATTCAGTCCCTCCTGTTGTCTGGGTGGCCCTGAGAGCCAAGTTCCCTTTGCCCTTCCTTGGATGCCACCTCCAAACACAGGGAGGTGACGGGCAGCGAAACTTCCCCAGGGTTCCAGCGGCACTGAAGGGAGCGAGGTGAAAGCTCTGCCTCTGTCAGCATTCCCACAAACCTGCCCCTACGGTGCCTCCGTGGAGAGGACCCAAGGCAGCAGACCCAAACCTACAGACAATGCCTGCTTTGTCCACCTCCCTTCTCCTCGGGCGCCGTGAGATGCTGAGTCCAAACATTTAACCACAAAATGCATTAATTACCGTCCAGCTCCCCGGGGTAAGGCCCATATGCCAGTAACCAGGGAAAGGGGGAAAAAAAAAAAGGCATGGAAAGCACATTGATTGTTAAATGACTCGGACTGCAATTACTGCCACTAAAAGTTCTTGATGAACAGTTCCTAGAAACATTCAGTTCTCCAGCCCCTGTGCTTGGAGCGGCGTTAACTTGGACCGTGCAAAAGAGGAGCGACCCAGAAATTGTGGGATGAAGGCAACTTCCCACATAACGGCATGGGATGTGTCCTCTGCTCCTGTAATTCTGCCTCAACCCACAGCAGAGAGCTGTTTTCCACGGGGTTTTTTCACCCGTGGCAGATGTCAGGTCCGATGGAACACGGTGTGTCCTCAGCTGCTCACTCCAGCTCCTGAGCCTGCAGCTAATGCTGGAGTTTGGCATCTGCCCCGGATGGAAATGAGCTACCCAGGGACAGCTGCTTGGGAATTACAGCAAACTGCAAACAGTCTGACACCAGCAGAAGTTTGATTTCCCCCACGCTGCCTGTAAATCTGGCGGGCTCACACCTCCCCAGCAGCTCCAAACCCAAACTCTGCTCAGAGCAGGGTAAGAAAACAGGAAGGAGCAATGACAGAGTGGCCAAGGTGGCAGGGGATGGATGGAGCCGAAATCCCGCTCGGTGCCTGGATGGGGGAAGGAAATGGGAGCTCGTGGAGTTGCTCTGCTAAGGGGGCACCCCCTCAGCAGAGCCACTGGGACATTGGGACACTGGGACATTGGGACACGCCGTCCCCGGGCCTGCGGTCGCTGCCCTTCCGCTGGAAGTCTCCAGGGAAGGACTTTGCAGCATCCCAGCCCAGGATCCCGAATTAGCATTGGAATGAGAGTGCTGGTATTTTTAAACCCGGGTGTGTCATTCCTGCCTTCCTCTTAATAGGTGTCCGTGGGCAGGTTCTTCTCAGAGCCTCATCCAGCGCTGCTTTAAGGAGCTCTGATGAACCCCAGAGTCAGGACAGGCTCTCACTTCCAGCTGGCACGGGATGGTCTGTGCCTTTCCAAACTTCCTCAGCACCTTTCTTCTCAAAGCTCTTTCATTATGCTTAAAAGCCAGGATGTTCATACTGTGTTCCCACTGACCTGTGTGCTGAGCTCCTCCAGTGCCTGAAAAATTCCCTCTAGAAATGAAATCCCATTTTTGAGCCCCCGGGGTCAATGTGGCAGCGAATTCCACCCCTGGAACAGCGAGGGCCAGGGCAGGAGAACGCCTGCTTTGATATCTTTAACATCTGATGCCTCCACTTTCAAAAGCACTTGGAAAGTCTGAGATGGAAAATCGCTGCAGAAAGGCCAAAAGTGCTGGAGAAGTGAAACAATAATAATGTTGTTTTGCTGCTCTGCCAAATGGAAATGAACCTCCTCAATGCAGCATGAAATAATATCGAGGGAGTGACCCACTGAGCACAGGTAGGGGGCCAGAATTGCTTTGTTCCGACTCCCTGGCTTGGTGCAAATTTAGCTTTGAGTAAGTCACTTAACTTTCCTGACTCATTCCTCACCACTGTTAAGGTGGGTGATACTCATTCCCCTCTGGGTTGTTAGGAGGACTGGTGGTTTGTTATGTAAAGCTTGGACAAATTAAGTCTAAGTATTATCAAAAGAAAAAAAAAATAAACCTTCCAGAATAGTATAAGCAGTGATTACTGACCTGGGAAAGAATCGAGAGCTTTCAGTGTTCAGAACTGTTCTGGGCATCGTTAGGGGGTTCCTTTGAATGGGGACTGTGAGGGGTTTGATAGGTGGCAGCTAGAAACCAGGCAAATGTCATCTAAAAGTGAAATAATTGAAAAGATATTAAACAAGAGCCAAGGCTGGTGCAGCGGGGTATAAACGAAATAAGCTATTAGCTGCTCTGCAAGAGAACAGCATGGGAGCGCTTTTGTTAGAGGAGAAATGCAGCGGTGGTGAGGGAAAAACAGCCCTGGCAGCTCCTTTGTAGGGCTGGTGAAACACAAAAAGGCCCCGAGCACCTCACAGACCTCAAATTTGTTGCTCTACACCCACCTTTATGGGCGCCGTGGGAGAGCTGTTTCTTTGTGCTGAACCACTGCCTTTTCACGGGGAGGTGGGTCTGTGCTTCGGGGAGGCTGTGAAAGGGTTTAAACTTTTACAAAAGCCTGTGATTTTAAAACTTCTGGTGGAGGAGGAGGGCGAAGCAGAGAGGAAGGCTGTGGTGAGGAGTACCTGGCTCAGTGTTCCTTATCCTGGAAAAAGGACTCAGCTCCTGCCCTTCCCACCAGACAGAGGGTACAGCTTTCCCTGCCACGTGCTGCAATAGCCTCGCAATAAAAGCCCCTCATTAAACCAGTTCCTGAGGCTACTGGGGGCATTTGGCCCAGCTGGTGCAAATTTCTTAGCCTGCCATGCAGCAACGTGAATGGAAAGCCCAAGATTGATGGATGAATGGATTGAATGTTTCTGGACAATCCCATTTAAGGGAAATTTTTTTCCCTCCCTTCCATCCCACCCACGTTCCAAGGAAGGTGGGGGTGCCCTTTGTGGTACAGGCTGCAATTAATTAATGGGCAATTATGGAGGGAGGTTCCTGGCACGGTCCTGCCGTGCTCCCACATCACTTTGGTTACAGTGACACGCCGATTTCCAGCTTAGGCTGTCCCACCCCGTGAATCAGCTGAGATTCCTTGGACTCTGGAAAACAAACAGAAACGAATATTCCACTGGCTCCTGGGGAGCCGAGGCTGTACAGGAGCTGCAGGAACGGGAATGAAAAGGACTTTGTCACATCGGTGGCCCAGTCCTATCAGCTGCGGAGAGGGGCCGACAGCAGTTTTTCCTGCTCCAGATGAATTCAAGGGCATTCAAAGCTGATATTTGCGTAAAGACATCCGGTTATGCAGAACCGAGGGCAGAAAAACGCCCTGGAGAGTAGGAGGTTTTGTTATTACCAGCGAATCCTCCGTTGGTAACCATTCCATCCGGAGCCGTTCCTGGCTGCAGGGATGGATTTGGGTACAAATTACAGGGATGGTTCATCCCAGCGCTGCGTCTCCAAGTCACCGCGGGGGATCCCACAGCCCCGTCCTGCCCTGGGAACGGCTCTGCCCAGACGTTCAGGTGCAGCTGAGCTCAGACTATTAAAAACAGAGTCTGGGCTCCCGGAAAAAAAAAAAAAAAAAAGGAAGGACTGGGAGCGAGGGTGGAGGTGCCGGGGAATAAAAGCCGCTCTGTTCCCGCGGCCCGGGCTCCGCGAGGCGCGAAGCCGCATGGGGAAAATGTGATCCCAGGCCGTGCTATTTTGGTGAAAAGACTGGGGGGGGGGGAAAAAAAAAGCTCGGTTTCGTTTCATCCCGATGTTTCGCCCAGTTCTCCCGCACTGATTTTCTATCCGGCTCCTCAGCCCCTGACCTTAATAGCGAGGGAAAAACCAGGCTGGAAACTCTGCTGCCTCTTGGAATGGATTTTCCCCGCAGCCAGGAAAGCAGCTGTTTGTGCTGCTCTGGCGTGGCGGGTCCATGAGTGGGGGAGTCTCTACATTTTACAGTTTTCCCTGAGGGGGAGGTGGGCTGAGGCGACGGTGGGGACACACACACACACACACACAGACCCCGACCACCTCCCCGGCGCGGGCAGCGGCACCGCCAGGGCCGCTCCCAGACGTGAGGTCATCGGGCACCGCCGGGGGCGTCCCGAGCTGACAGGGAGGTGTCCCCGCCGCTATGAGGGGGAACAGTGGGGACCCCACGTCCCAAAGGGGAACCCCCGGCCCTGAGGGGACTCTGCGCCCGCCATGGCCGGCGGCGCCCCCTCAGCGCTGCCCCCTCGGCGGGGCCACGCCCCTTTCGTACAACCACGCCCCTCACGAGGAGGTCACGCCCCTTTCAGGGAGGTCACGCCCCTTCAGCCCAGCCGGCCCAACTGCGCTCCCTTAGGGAGGCCCCGCCCCCTCGGGGAGGCCCCGCCCACCCTCGCGCGGCCCCGGCGGGCTCCGGGCGCGGGGCGGGGCCGCCCTCAGTCGCGCGCAGGGCGGGCGAGGGGAGCGGAGCGGCGTCGCTGTCCCGGCTGTGGCAGCAGCAGCGGCGGCGGCGGCGGGCGAGGCTAAGGCGGGGCGGCGGCTGCAGGAGCGGCAGCGGCGGAGGAGATGGCGCTCTCCGTGCCGGTCAACGGGCTGAAGGAGAGCGACAAGGAGCCCGTCATCGAGCTCTTCGTCAAGGTACGGCCAAGGGAAGGGAAGGAGCGGAGGGGAGGATTGGGGGGGGGGGGGTCCCGTGTGGGCGCCGGGCGCGCGCGCGCTCCGACCGTTGGGCTCCGCCGCCCCCCCTCCCCTCACCCCGCCGCTCTCCCGCCCGGGGCGCTCCCAGTCCCCTCACGGCTTTCTAGGGACCCTCCGCCCGGCGCCCCCCTCTGAGCACCCCCCGAGGGCGCGGGGCTCCCCTGAGGTGCGGGGCGGCCGCGCACAAAAGCGGGGAGCGAGCGAGGGAGAGAGAGAGGGAAGGAGGGAAGGAGGGCGTGTGCCCGGCGCCGGGAGCGGGGTGCGGGAGCCGCGGCTGAGTCAGTGCGCGCAGATGGAGCGGGCGATAGCGCGGACCCGGCGGAGGGGGGTGGGGGGGGAAAAGTCACTCCGGGAAAAAAAGTGTTGTGCGTTTTGCTGGAAGATTCTTTGCCCGGCCCGCGCGTGGCAGGACCGCGGGCAGCGGCGGAGGGGGAGCGACAACCTCAGCTCGCCACAAAAGCATCGCCCCCCGCGGGGTCGTCGCCCGGCATTGTGTGCCCGGAACGCGGCGGAAAGGGGGCAAAACCAGCGAGTTACTGCTCGCTCCCCGCCTAAGAAAGTCTGCTTCTGTGTCGGAAACCGACCGCCAGTTTTTTATCCGAACCAGAAGAATGAGCATGTGTTGTACTGCCCTTATCTGGCAGAGATACCATATGGTATCTCCACATGTTTTGCATTCATTTGTTGCTGTATGATGCAATATTTTGCATCCTCCGGGGCTCTGGTGATGCAGCATCTTACTTTTGACTTCGTATCAAAAGTGCACAGAGTAATTGGTGTTAATCTTCTCTTTTCTGTGCTTAAACGCCCTTTAATGAAAAGCCTCTGTAGAAAAGTATTTAAATTCTTCGGGTGAAGTTTCTTTCTGTTGCAGTGAGAAAATCGGAGATCTCTTCATCTGAGATCTTGGGAATTGCTTTGTATGAAAGCCACGATGACAAACATGGAAATTTCCAGCAGATTAGGTAGAGCTTTGAAAATAAATTATTCAATATAGATTTTATTTATGCTCTAAAAGCGTCGAATTTTTCCCCCTTTCATAGTTTTGAATAGTGTCAAGAGGCAGTAATGGGACCAAGGGAAAGCAGTGAAGGATTCTAGACCTGATTTTAGTCAGAATATTTAGGCTCTTAGTGTAGAGGTTAGAACTTACAACTCCATCAATTAAGTTACAGATTACTTTGCATTATTTATAGCAGTGCTGCTTTAATATAACATGTCAACTTATCTGTCCTAAAGTTTGCTGGCTGATTTTTTTCTTACTTACTTAGAGCAGTGATTGATGGCAGAAGGATTTGGGGGCAGGGGAAATAACCTTTGTGGGTGTGTTTAAAGAGAATATTTCATGCATGAGGAGTGGCATGGAAGAAGTTGTAAAAATAGTTGTGAGAAAGATGTGTTCATTCTGATTTAATCTGGACCAATAAAGGTTGAGACTGTATGAAAGGGGATAATCAGTGACATTTTTCTGTCCCTCTCACTTCTTTATTGGCATGGGTTTAAGAAGGCTAAATTTGGGATTGTCAGCGAGTTGTTTCTCCCTCAAGGAAACCTTTTCCCAGTGACTGCTGCACACTGTCTGCCTTTAGGATGAAGTTCAGGTTAAAAAAAGAAGTTATTCTTGTCTGCCCTCATGATGTTCAGGTAAAGATTATTTCCCTGTAAAATCCTTCAGAGGAAGAACAACCCCCCCCGCCCCAGCAGACAGACCAAAATAGTTGTTTCACCTGGGTGTTGTTGCCTGTCCCACACCTTATTGAAGCTGTTAAGCATTATCAGGGTAGTGTTTTTGTAAAGCCTATAAAAGTCTTGTTTTCTGACTCATTTAGATGGTCACCTCAGCAAATGCAAGCAGAATATGGTTCTTGAATGGAATGTCTATAGAGGGGAGCACTAGATTTTGATTTAGTCATTTTTTCCCCTGTAAATGAGGAGCTCGGTGTCTGCTGCAGTTTTTCACCTGGTTGTGGCTGCAATGTAGAAAAAAAAAACAAATCTGAATTTACCGAGTGTTTCTCGACGTGGCCGATCACTTTTCAGGCAGTGTCTGGGCTCTCGGCTCTCCCTGTGCGCTGTTGGGCAGCGAGGCTCTTCAGGCAGAGGTAGTGGAAAGGCTCCTGGACCAAAATCGAGCTCTCTGCCAAACGCCCGCGGCCCAAGGGCGGTAACTGTATGACCTGAGCACAAAGGATTGTAGCAGCCCAGACTGAGATGAAACAAAGGTACGGATTAAAGCTTGAGAAACAAACCTGTGAAGCAGGAGAGAACGGGTTTGGCTCCGAGCCCAAGACGTTGGGTTTGAACCTCATTAAATTGTGATCAGTAACAAAATAGGACGGGCACAGCATGGGGAGGAGCACACACATGGCTGGGGTTCAGTTATGAAGAACTACGTGGGGCTGTTTGTCACCAGCAAAGCGATTTTTTTTTTTTTTCCTCCAAAGACACTGTATCAATCTGCTGTTACTTGTATTTTCGTAGCCTGTGATGGTAACTACCCTCAGAATTAGGGTGCTTAGGTAGGAAAATATGTTACAGCGCTGAAAGCGAGGTGATTGATCTGTTCCTTGGCCTCACAATGAGTAGTTTCAGCAGTTTTTCATTACAGAGCCGGTGGGCTGCCTGTGGTCTCTTTTAGACCAGCTGTAAATATTTTTCAAGTCTTTTCTCCTGAGAGCTGATTAGGAGAGACCAGTGATGTATCTGATTTCATTTAGTTTCCTTGTATGTCTCCATGTTTTATTCATGAGGGAGGCCCACTTCCATTGTCTAACAGGAATATTTTTCTCTGCCCTAGTGGCATTTCGGGGTAGTGAAGGCTGCATTGTGGTGAGTGTGCTCCCAGAAACTTGAGCGCTGTGATCTGAACACAGCTTGTGTAGGTCACTTGGAATAATAG